TAAGTTTTTTCACGCAATATGAAGTCCTTGAATTCTGTAACTTGTTTCTCTCTCTCTCTCTCTCTCTACATTGCTTGTATATATAATTCATGACTTATTTGTGTTAATTACCTTAATTAATGCTCAGGTTTCTGCGTTGTCGGATGCTAAAAGTAGATTATGCTTCTGCAGTTTCTTCATCATGGCCTCTTTGATTCTTGGTGTCTGCTTCATTGGAAGTGCATGGTTGACAAGAAATTCTTTCATGGTACATACGGACACAACTTACAGATATGTTTACCGATGGATGATGTGGCGAGATTGCCAATCTCGATATCAAAAAACTCCAAAGTTGTTTTCCTCTTCCTTTTTTGGCACCACCAACACGATCCATTGTGGAAAATCTTCGGACATTATACTTTTCTTGAATAGCCATCATGCTAAAATGATTGGGTCAAAACCTCATCGGCCAAATAATAAAACTCCCCCACTTTCTTTTTTACACCTCTTCAATCCGTAAAAGATTATGTAAATGGTGACGTACTTATTTTTCTTTTTTGCGATTGGTCAAAAATATTTCTTGTCATGGTTTCATAATCAATTTTGACATTAGGGTTGTAGTTGATTTGCAAGAAATATTCCTGCGACCATTCAAAAGAGACTCTTCAATGCTTAAGACTAGAATATATAGAGAGAGTTGAACTAGTCAAGCATGATTTATTTATAACAATTCTACTGAGACCTGACACTCGACTAATGGGGTAGCTACCTCTAATCTGCAGGTATACTCGACGGTGGACATAGAACTGAATGATGAAAAAGAGATTTCGCAGTTCAACAAATGCAAAGTTCGTCGAATTTATAGTCTTTCAGTAATACTTCTTGTTAATTATGTTTATAAATTTATTGCTTCCAGCTTAACAATTTGTTTTCTTTTAGGAGAATTGCAGGCCCTTTGGTAGTGAATCTTTGCCGAAAGGAATAGTTTCCACAACATCTAACTTCGAAATGCGCCCTTTGTGGGGTCCTGTTTCGGAAAATGTATGTGACACGATAGCAAGTCGATCACTTTTCTTCTATTTTTGGATGGCACGATAAAGTCATTCATGTCTCGGCCCCAAGCCAAACAAAAATGTATGGTTCTTAGATGATATTCCTACAAATGGAGCTACCCTCTTACTATTTTTTTTTTCACGCGGATTCTAAATTTCTTGACTGTGAACTGCAGGTGGTTCGCCAAACGGTTTCTACATCCAGATATTGTTTCTGAGTACGACTACATTTTTCTGTGGGACGAGGACCTTGGAGTCGAAAATTTTATTCCTAGAAGGTATTGCATTACTTAGTTATTCCTCCACAATGAAATGTTATTAAGATTTCATTTAAAAACTTAATATTTTTGAATGCAGGTACCTATCTATTGTTAGGCAAGAAGGGCTCGAAATATCACAGCCTGCTCTTGATCCTAGAAAATCAAAGGTGCATCATCGTATAACTGCACGTATGAGAGGATCAAAGTTTCATAGGTGAGACCAAATTTAACTAGCATAACATGCTACCGCGGTATTTCACTTGTTTATTGAGGTTTAGCCAATGTTATGCATCTAACTCTAATATTCATTCCCTTGAATAGGAGATACTATGATTCTAGAGGTGGTGGAAAATGTGATAACAATAGTACAGGTCCTCCTTGTGCAGGGTAAGAACTTAATTCTTAGCATCTACCAGTGTATTATCTTCTGTCTAGCCAAAGTTTAACTCTGCGTGTGATTTACGAGAATATCATCGGATAAGAAAACTTTGTTTCTTACACGAGAACTTATTATGTGATGCAGTTGGGTCGAGATGATGGCTCCAGTGTACTCAAAAGCAGCTTGGCGTTGCGCTTGGTATATGATCCAGGTACATGATTTGAAGAAACTATTAAGGATTCCATTTTAAAATGTCAAACTTATAAAGTGGAGTAACCTCAGTCCTTATATGTTTGTCTATGTTTATAGTCTTCGATGCGGGATTTCATCTCTTAACATGCCCCTCAAGATGGTGGCTCATTTGAAGAAACCAATTTTAAAATTCGCGAGCTCATTTTTTGAGTCTTAATCGGATCGAATTGCTCATTAAAACTTAATGGTCTCTTATACCATATTAATATTTGGGATTCCATCTTAAAATGTCAACTTTATTAAGAGGAGTAGTTCAAACCGTTATAAGTTGGTCCGTGTTTTTCATTTTTCTTCGATGTGGACTTTAAATCTTTGTTACCTTACCAAACAAGCTAGTAATGCTTCTTCTTTTTCCCACAGAATGACTTGATCCATGGTTGGGGCCTGGATATGCAGCTTGGTTATTGTGCACAGGTAAATTCTTCACTAGAATTAACTGTTCTATTTTGTTTGGAGGCACTCATAAATAGCGTTTATCATAGGGGGATCGGACAATTAAAGTTGGTGTGGTCGATGCAGAGTATGTAGTTCATATGGCTCTTCCCACACTTGTTGGAACTTCTTCGGATAGGCAACCTTCAAAATCAAATAACTCGTCTTCAGAAACAACGGTATGATTTCTGGGTCAAGATCATTTCTTATTGATGCGCATGATGAATAAACCCGAACTTAAAATTTTTGTTTTGATTTATAGGGAGCTTCAGCTCCGAACAAATTGGACAACAGATTTGAGGTAAGTTGATAAAAATAAGTGATACAGTCCACTTTACCAAACACGTCATTAGTCCCTTCCCCGTGGCTTTGCTTAGTTACTAGTGTATATGCAGATACGAAAAAGATCCTACAATGAGATGAGCATTTTCAAGAATAGATGGAATAGGGCTGTCGCAGAGGATGAATGTTGGGTCGATCCATTTCACTGACCGGCTGATCAGATAACGCATTAGCCTACGTGTTTTTCCAAGACCTTCTAGAGTAATCAAGGCAATGAGATCGCAAAACTTGTACAGATGCAGATATATGAACAACTTTCCATTTATTCTTTCCATGTATAAAGCACTCAAATACAACAGAGAGACGAAGAGAAGTACAGGATTTTTCTTGCATTGATCGTGTTATTTTTTTGAGAGTATAGGAATCAGTTTTCTTCTGCCGATTTTATTGGATATTCAACTTTTCTAAATGTAACTAATATTTTCAATGAAGAACCTTTGATTTTGTTGTTCAACATTGAACAATACACTTGTATGTTTCTAGTCTGATGATTGTGATTTAGGCATCGGCTGCAGAGAAAGGTGTCTTGAAATGTTTATGAATATAGCTTTTTAATCTGGGCCGAACATCATCAATACGTAACAAAACATGGCATTGTACATCTAGAGTTTTTTTATTTGGGTTTTGCTATGAGTACACCGGGGTTGATCGCATGATGTACTTCTCCCTTACAATGGAGGGCTGCGATTTTTTTATTGGACGTGGGTCCCTCCTATTGTGAGGGAGCTTTACACTGGGTTGTCAAACCCCGATATAAAAGTAGTAAAATCCTTTTTATTTTTCTATTTGAAATTTTAACTTTCCAATATGCAAATGTACATATTACTCGTGAAAGTCTTGCCTCGTGGATTTAGCACTTAAATAATTTTAAAAATTGGTAGCAAAATCGACACCGGGCACCCTACTTGGGGGACCATTGTGTCAAGTTACCTAGCTAGAAAAAGTGAACCGCCATAGACGATGATTATGAAGTTGGTGGAAAGTATCGAATTATGTTCCCCATCGCTTACGGTCCATGAAGAGCAGCGGGGGTGGAGTGGTCATTACCATTCTTGTCCCATTGGAGATTTTCTGGAGGTAATTAGCGCATAACATTCTTCCATTTTACTATTATTATGGAAAACGTCTGTACTTTTCATTTTTGACATTTTCATCCTTAATTACACATTTGATTGCGTAAAACATCATTTTCATCCAATTCCTATTAAAAAAAATGTTGTAAAATAATTAATATACCCTCCTATTCAAATAAAACAAAAAGAATAGAAAAATAAAAGAACTAATTGCAACCATAGTCTCAATTTTTATTTAAAAATTTCAAACGAGTCCCAAACAAGAAATGTCACGATTCCAGGTTTGAATTCGACCTAGATTAATTTTATTGTTCTCTCTGGCTCTTGAAAGTTTAATCTTGTTAACTAGTAAGAAAATACAAGCAATTTGTAATACCTGGGCATCTGTTTTCAATACCTTCTCTGTTGTATTGTATCCTATGCATATGGAATTCATTAGCATTTACGACAATCTAATTCGTTTGGAGCACGAGATTTTAAACTAATATAGCCAAATAATGCTATTCATCATTACCCTATTCATCATCAGTTGTGATCATGGGTAATGATTAATAGCATTATTCTCTTCCCTTGCCTTTGGAATTTTAATGTACATTGTTTTGTTATGTGTACTATGAACAATATAGAATCAACAAGGAGAGAGCAAGAAAGAAAACAAATATATTTACGTGGTTCGACGGTAGGCTTACATTCACGGGAATGAGGTGGCTATGATTTTCACAATGCAGAAATAATATGGTTACAACATATATATACGTGGTACAGTACATGAGTATTTTTGAATTTTTCCTAATATCTTGTACAGACTTTTTTAGTATACATATATTTCACGCTATATGAACCACATATTGTAACATACATTTACTTTAACGTCTTCAAGCCTCCCGTTGTACGAATCGTTCAACTAGTTAAGACCAAATATTGTGTCAGTTTTCTTCTAATTTGTTTATTTTGGTAGGCAATAAAGTTCAATATCTGGTGCTTTGAACATCTTTCTACTAAGCTCAAGCTGTTTCTTTCCTCTAGCAAAAGACGAGATACCAAACTAAACCCGGCTGATTAAGGATATTCAGATGCTCTTACCAATGCATGCAATGGGAGCTTTTACCCAGCCATTTCGACTAAATGAGACCGCAAACCTAGGATTACATTAGCAGAACAACACGGTACTAAACATTCGCTCATTCTATTTTCGTTTTTTACGAATATATCTTAATTTACTAGACAAGTATAAACCAGCACGTGTAGTGTAGCTCCTAAGATGTTGCTTCTGAGTGCTAAAAAATGATTAGTATACATTTTTGGGACCCAAAATTCTCCTGTATGCTATACATTTTGCTACGGAAATCACAAATAAAATTGTAAAAGGTTGAGCTCTACCAAAATCTAACAATTGCAAGAAAAGGGTGGGAAAATAGTACACCCTCACTTCTGCAAAATTAATCTTCAAAATCCCATTACTTTTGAGGTGAGATTCAGTAAAGGCTGTAAAGCACTGGGGTCAAACTTTCTAGCAAACAGGTAACAGATAGGTGTGTTTCCAGAGTTGTAAGAGCACAATGTGCCATTTTTCCTAATTGACTGCACGAAATTTTCTGTTATATTACCAGCCATGAAGGTAGCCGGGTGCGGACCTCCTAGTGACCAGTCAACGTAAGTCACCGTACGGTTAGCATTTAGTGAACCAAAGAACATTTGCAGATAGGTGGGAATAAAATGCTCATCGGGATAGCATGAAGGCCTGCAGTACTTCTTGAAGAGTGTGTAGTATTTGATGTCTGCTATTATTTTCACAGCCACAGCACGATTATGCTCGAACCATTGAGACCCTTTTCTCCAATCAGCAAGTTTAATATCGGGTAGCATATGCCGGCTGTAGCGACCACGCCCATAACGAGAGGGATCATCGTAAGCCTCGACAAAACTATGGGTGGATCCGGTGAGATACTTGTAGATAGTGAGGAAATTGTAAATAGGAATACAGCTCTCAGATAGAAGAATGAATCGCTCGTTTGAGAAGTCAAGAAGTGCATTGGCTAAAAGCCGTTTCTCCGCGTCAACCAGTGACACCGATCCCCATTCAACATGCTGCAAAGTTGAAAATAAAGGAGAAAATTTTACTGAACAACAATTGCAATAAAAAAACTATATTGGTTTTAATGCTGATTATATAGGAAACATGAAAGATGGCAAAGTCATAATAACAGATTATAAAGATATAAGATATTACAGCTTGGTGCAAAAATATGAAAGATTCAACCAATCAGCACTTTCCATCAAAATTTGGTGAATTAGTGTATTTTAAACGAATTTAAATACTTTGTTCCCGTCAAGGGGTCACCACATGTGTTGAAGAGGTAGCTGCTCATGTCTTAAAATAAGAAGGGACTTGGACCTACATTGACATGTGTAAAAAGTGGAACTTAAATTGATATATTACCCATCCCCATAATAACATTTTCTCACCAAGGCTCAACCCACCCCGTTGCTAGAATAAATTAATTGAATTGGTCAAGTGTCATGGAAAGTGTACGTTAACATGGTATACCACCCAACTGAAAGTGAAAAGTATCACAAGACTGGTGTGCAAAGGAAATTGGATAACCATAAATCATGGAATAGAAGTTGTTTAGGTAAAGCCTCCACAAAAACATTATTCATATTACACTAGCAATTTATGCTTGCTAATATGTTTCGTAAAGGCTCAATATGTTGTTTAATATCACATCAAGTAGTATTCTTCTTCTGCAAATATCATGGTTCGTGCAGGAGTAATAGAAGATGATCATTTCCTTGTGTCAAAGTTCTGATGCAATTAACTCGAGAAGATGAACTACTGCTTGTTCTTTAACATCAACAAGCTTCAGAATTCCTGATGTCTGAGAATCTTGGTAGTAGCAGAAAGGAGTACAAATGAATAAAAAAAGCTTCATATGAGGGGAATGGGTGGAAAGAAGTACATATGATTAAGAAAAGATCCATATTGATTGTTATCTTCTCTAATCCTCAAAACAGAATGAAGCCAGCATAAGGAAGTTCCAATAATTAAGCAAATGTACATATATGTGATGTCAACTGACTTCTCATAAATGAAAGTTCAAATTCTTTCTCCTTTAACCATCCTGTCATATCCCTAATCCCAGTACTGAATATGTTCAAATTCATTTTCTCCTAGATGTGGCTATCCTCATTCTTTTCTCATTCATGTCCGGGACCTAAAAAACTAGATCCACTTTGTTCCTCAATTCTCCATGAAATATTTTGTAAAATTTAACCTAAATAATTCATGCCTCGAATATCTTTGAGGTTAGATACAGTCCGGTTTTTCTGTAAAATACAGACACTTCAGAACTAGAGCATATTCAAGGTCTCCAAACTAGAGTAAATGGAAGGGCTTCACAAATTTTGCTTCATCATCTGCTTCAACCCTGTGCTGGTTGTCAAGAAGCGGGGCACATGGACCAGATATCACCAAGCTTTTGTTTGGGTCATGTTTGTTCCTGAATTGCCATCATCCTATGCTACCAAATGTGAGCAAGGTTTTGACTGCTTTTCATCCTAGACATCCCGTATATCACTCAAATAATATTAAAGCATTCCAACACATGCTTATATTGAATAACGAGGAAGAAGCATAATCCAAACCTCAATTTGAATTTTTCAAAATAATAATAATAATCATCGATCAAGTGCTCAACTTTAGACACGTGATAAGAATATGGATCCTGAAAAGTAAGCAGAGAACTTTTCAATTGTGAAATCAGGCTATCCCAAGATGTTGATTCCAGTCATGATTTCCAATTTCATCTTTCACATGATGAGGCTGCCAACGAAAAGTCCCACACATGGGATAGGCTCAAAGCTTTTTTTTTTTTTTAGATCTCCATCCATTACTCAACAAAAAGTAAAAGACTTCAAGTAACGTTGACTGTTGTCTGTCTGCTTTCCTAAATTCACTAAGAAAACTAAAAAAATAATAAATAAATAAAAATTCAATATTTTCTCTCTCAATGCAAGTGATTGCTGTTAACTACACACTTCACAGCTTACACATGAGATTACTCTAACAACCAAAACATAATCAGCACGCATATCATGCTTAAGGAAAGAAAAACAAGTTTTTCCACTGAAATCACATAAGAAGCACGAGATGTCATCAGCAGTCAACACAAATTATTGTTATTCACGAAAAGGATTATACCTGACTTGGTATCTGGCGTCTGTAAAAGACCGAAGTACTAGTCACATTGAGCTCAAATCCCGGAAGAGCATGCACATAAATTGAATATTTGTCCTTATTCTGGCCCTTGAAGAACCTCTCCCACAGTGGCAACATTGGCAATGGCCCTCGGGTCAAAAACATGAATGCCACCCTTGGTACTCTACTAAATGGAAACTCCTCCTTCTGGGGCACCAATGAAGCCCTCCAAAACAACTCGTCATCCGTCATACTGTGGCACAAGTTCCGTGGCCTGATGAAACTCTTCATGCTCAAACAATCCTCTTTTTCGCAATTCACCACAATTTGTTGTGTGGTATCTATAGCATGATTATTTAAACTAAACTGTTCCGTTTGAAGTGTGAAATACCGATCAATGTGTGAACTGGAAGATAGTCCTATAACTACGCCAACCACAAAAATTATCAAAATCGTGATAAGCTTCAGCAGGCTGATTGAAGAATCCTTCGTTAATGATGAATTTGACCAGCTCTCCAGATCTTCATTTTCTCTACTTCTCGCCATCTTCTCCTTCTCCTATTTCTTCTTATTTGGGGAAACTAACTGCTCTTCTGGATTATATTAACCCAACAAAAAATCTCTGTTATTTTTGCGATTTAAAGCCTAAATTCAAGTCTCCAAATCCAGTATTAATTAAAAGTCTAGAACCCCACTTAAAAGAAAAAAATTTAAAAAAATTAAAAAATTTTAAAAAAAAAATCAAAGATTCTAAATATCCAATTCACAAGATCAAATTCGAAAAACACCTGTCAAAATAGGACAGTAGTAGAGAGCAACAAAATCAGAATCCGGATTCTTCAAGAAAGGCAGAAAGGCGTTAAGTGTTTAATTTTATTTTCTGATCAATTGGAAGGCAATAATTGCGTTTTGCACTTATGCATCTTTATGAGAGTTTGATTCGGATCTTCGGAGGATTACTCAATCGTTACCTGCGGAAAAAAAAAAAGTGGATCCTAAAAATCCCACAAAAAGCAATTCGATGTACAATCACTGAGAGACCGGGAAACATAAACGGAAGGAGAATCACAGAGGGCTGGATTTATCAAGTGTGGATTTGAGTTTCACATACAGTGATCTGTGTATGAATGGGAAAGTTGGATTTGATACTTGAACAGTTTGTAATAATTTGCAAAAGTTAGGTTGTGAATGTGAAATTATCTCAGGTTTGTGGGCGGCAATTATGAAGTTGGCGTATCTTCGAAATTGTCTAATTGTCCCCTTAACGCCCCCGCACCCTCACCAGCCGCCCCATCTCCCTAACCAACCACTCCGCACACATTAATTCGACAAAATTGAACATTGTCGTGGACTCCTCTATCATGGATTTTGTAACTTATACATCAACCTCCTCATAATAGGGAGTGATGACTCAGGTTTGGCTACCCCGAACTCGACTTCATTTCGCCCACAAATTTCGACCTCGACCTATGACCCCTGAGTTGATCTTGGCGTGTCATGCCGGTATAAGGCCGGGGTTATTATCTAATTCGACCTTACCCATTGACTTAATCTCCAAAAAGTAGACCCCATCTAAATCTACTACTTCCCTTATTAGAACTCTAACAATGCACTTCTAATTAAACTCCAACACCTAGCCATAAGGGGAAAAGGACTCTTTCACTAATAGATTCTACAGCCCCCCCCCCCCCCACCAACACCTATAAATACTTGGCTAAGGCTCAACATCAAGGTATGCTTTTCATTACTGCAAATTCAAAACCTTCTCTCATCAATCTCCCCGTTTAACTTAAGTATCGGAGGAGCGACGAGAACACACCTCGTTACCTTTTGTTTCAGGTATTGGAAGACTGCTCATACTCATTTGTGAGACCCAAGTTCGGAGTTCAAACCACAAATTCGCGGTCTATCAGGTACAACTTTTTGGTAGCATCATTGGCGCTGTCTGTGGGAATCGCTACCAAAAGCCATGGTGAATACACGATCAGGTCTTCTACCAGTAAGCTCATCCGCTCCAAATCCTCCTCCTAAAGATCATCCTGTCCCTCAAGAGGAATCATCAGAGATGGCAGCACCACCACCGGCTGTCATTACTGTCGGAACTTTCGAAGAGCTCCGCCAACAAGTTACCACATTGACTCAGTTATTAAGCCAAAGGAATTCACACCCATCGCATACACCGACACCGGATGGTGATCTTATGGCAGCTTCTCAAGTTCGAGCTTCACAAAACATTCCTGATAACGGTGTTGGAACCTCAGGTGTACCTCCTATGACTGCGGCCTCAAGGGCAGTAACGATAGAGTCGGGTGAACTTGCCAGAATCATCCAAGATGGTATTACCGCGGGACTAGCACAGAAATCAAAGGGGGCAACAGACTTTATCCCTAGCACTCTCTTTACTCCTGAAGTATTGTCCTACCCCCTTCCGGATATGTTCAAGTATCCCAGGATAAAGGAATATGATGGGATCATCGACCGTATTAAACACCTCAATATATATACCGATATCATGAACTTACAGGTCACACCTGACGCTGTAATGTGCAAAGCCTTCCCTCAAACTCTTACAAACGCAGCTAGAGATTGGTTATCTACATTAGAGCTGAACTCTATCGCTTCGTTCGCAGACCTGGCTGATAAATTCTCCGCTTTCTTCGCAAGCAGCAAGCGAATTAGGAAAACAGCGGCATCACTTATACAGATGCGCAGGGGCCTAATGAAACATTACGCAATTTCGTGACCAGATTTAATAAAGAAAGACTTCAGATTCCAGATCTACATATTATAGCTGCGATCTCAACTTTAACGTACAACATAAGATGCGAAGCATTCAAGATGTCTTTGTCAAAAACCCCCCCCCCCAAAGACAGTAACTGACCTCCTCACTCGAGCTGAGAAATACATCAATATGGAAGAAACTCTAGCCCCAAGAAAGGACGCTTCACCTTTACTTAGGCCGGATAATAAGAGACCGCGTGAACCCAATCAACGAGACGACACTCCTCGGGTTAAGCCAAGACAAAACCCCCAACCAGAAACCTTTACTCCCTTGAATACATCAAGGTCCAACATCCTGATGGAGATGAAGGACCTCAAAGAGCTTAAATGGCATCCCAGAATGCGGTCATTACCTGAAAACAGAGACAGAACCAAGTACTGTGACTTTCACCAGGACCACGGACATACCACTGAGGGTTGTTTGGATCTGAAGCAACAAATTGAGGCTCTCATTAGGAGGGGTTTTTTAGGCTCTTACACTAGCCATGAAAAGCGCCCGAAGAACAATTAGAACAACGTACAGGAAAGGCGTGGTAGTGAACTGCCAACTGCAGGCACGATTAACGTTATTGTCGGAAGAACAGCTTCAGGAGGAGACACTAATAGTGGATGTAAGCAGTATGCTAGACAACTTCCAGCCTCCTCCAATACAGATCTTACTCATACGGAAGATATCACCTTCGGGTCAAAGGATTTGGAAGGAATGTCCTTTCCCCATGATGACGCCCTACTCATATCAGCTATCATAGCTAACTTCGAGGTCAAGAGGATTCCTGTGAATAACGGAAGTGCAGCTAATGTACTGTCTCATGAAGCTTTTGTTCAGATGGGTATCTCAGTAGAATAACTCAAGCCTGTTAAAACACCCCTCCCCCTCCAAAGATTTGGTGGCGGGGTCATTACCCCTGAAGGTATTGTTGGATTACCCATGACTTTGGGATCTGAAGATCGACAAGTAACCCATATTATAACTTTTAAACTTTTCCGAACTCTGATTGCCTACAACGCCATTCTAGGGAGACCATTGCTAAATAAAATCAGAGCTATTATCTCAACTTTTCACCTAGCAATGAAGTTCCCCACATGTAGTGGAGTTGGAGTCGTCCGAGGAAGCCAAACCATGGCACGCCAGTGCTATGTGACTAGTGTCCGAAAAACGAAGGGAGACGTCATGCAGCTTTCAGAGCTCGAGCTCGAGCTTGAAAATCGTAGGACACTCACCCCGAAAGAGGAGTTGGTCGAGGTCGAGCTCAAGCCTGGTAGGAAGGTGACAGTAGGACGTGATCTTGATTCAACCATCATGGCTAAACTCATAAGTTGTCTCTCCCAAAACTAAGACGTATTCGCTTGGACAATTGAAGACATGCCCGGAATTGACCTAGAGGTTGCAGTACACAGGCTCAATGTAATCCCAGGAACCAAACCTGTCAAGCAAAGGAAAAGACAGTTTGCACCGGAACGGCGCGAAGTCATACGAGAAGAGATTGCCAAGCTCCTCAATGCATAATTCATCCGAGAAGTGCAATATCCTGACTGGCTTGCCAATGTAGTTCTCGTGAAAAAGGCCAATGGGAAGTGGCGAGTTTGCATTGACTTCACTTATTTGAACAAAGCATGTCCGAAAGATAGCTATCTCCTATCCCGGATTGACAGCCTCGTTGACAACACTTCGAGTCACAAATTGTACAGCTTTTGGATGCATTCTCAGGGTACCATCAAATACCAATGGCCATAGAAGATCAAGAGAAAACTTCATTCATGGCCGATTCAGCCATCTATTGTTATAAGGCCATGCCATTCAGGTTAAAGAACGCGGGGGCTACATATCAGAGGCTAATCAACAAGGTCTTTGCTGATTTGATTGGAAAAACCATTGAGGCTTACATAGATGACATGGTGGCCAAAAGTAAGCAGGTGGATGATCATATCACCGATCTCGAAGAAGTGTTTTCCACGCTGTGGAAATGCAACATAAAGCTTAACAAGACAAAATGTGCCTTTGGGGTAGCATCAGGAAAGTTTCTAGGTTTTATGATCACAAAGAGAGGAATAGAAGCCAATCTCAACAAAATCCAAGCCCTAATATCTATGGAAGCCCCAAAGAGCAAAAAGGACATCCAAATGCTTACAGGTCAGTTAGCAGCATTGAACAGATTTGTCTCTCGGGCAGCGGACAGATGTTTTCCCTTTTTCAAAGTCCTAAGAGGCAACCAGAGCTTTGAATGGAATGATGAATGCGATCTAGCCTTCCAACAGCTTAAGCAAACTTTAGCTGTACCTCCGGTTCTTGCCAAACCAGAGCCTGGTGATACTTTGTTCCTTTACTTGGCTGTCTCTCGAAATGCCGTAAGTGGGGTGCTAGTAGAGGAAAAAGGAAAAGTGCAGCAACCCATCTACTAAGTCAGTAAAGTGCTTCTCGACACCGAAACTCGATATACCTTTGCGGAACAGTTAGCTCTTGGCTTGATAGTAACTGCTAGAAAGTTGCGGCAGTATTTCCAATCTCACCCCATAATAGTTCTCACCAATCAACCACTCAAGCACATACTTCAGAGGCCAGATGTTTCAGGAAGGTTATTAAGGTGGGCGATCGAGCTTGGCGAGTTTGATATAGAGTTCAAGCCTCGACCTTCTATCAAGACACAGGCTCTGGCCGACTTCATAGCTGAACTCACTCCAAAACCACAAGGGCGTGAAATCAAAAACCCGAGCAAGAGCTCAAAAACCTGGGAGATATTTGTCAATGGGACGTCAAATAGCTCAGGGCCGGGATAATTATCATCAGGCCGAACAAGGCCACTGAAGTTCAATGTGCGCTTAGGTTTGAGTTTGAAGCAACCAACAACGAAGCGGAATATGAAGTCGTGGTCATTGCTCTCGAACTTGCCAGAAATCTGGAATTAGAGCATATCAGAGTCTTCAGCGACTCACGGTTCATTGTTGGACAGATCGAAGGATCCTTTGAAAAGAAAGATGAAAAGATGAGCTTGTACTGCCTAAAAGTGCATGATCTTCAAAGACAGTTCACAAGTTGTGAAATATTGAAAATAGCAAAAGCAGATAACTCCAAAGCTAACGCACTATCCAGACTCATTTTCATGAGGATAGATGGACTCGACAGAATAGTACACATCAAGATTGTCACAGAGCCTAGCATAAACGTGGAGTTGAGCGTCATGGACATTGACCATGAGCCTTCCTGGATTGATCCAATAGTTGAGTATATAAGTAATGGAAACCTACCTCTTGACCCTCACGCCGCAAGGAGTATTCGGGCCAAAGCTGCTAGGTATTATATTATTAGAGGGGTGCTGTTTTGAAAAAGTTTCACACTCCCCTATCTAAGATGCCTCAAACCTTCCGAATCTCTCCAAGCCCTGACTGAGGTTCACGAGGGAATATGCGAAAATCACTAGGGAGCCAGAGCCCTTGCCTACAAATTAATAAGGTATGGGTACTACTGGCCAACTATAAAGAAAGATGAAGCTGAATATGTCAAAAGGTGCGACAAGTGTCAGAGGTTTGGTAATGCTATACATGCCCCTGCAAAAGTGTTGACCTCTATTCATTATTCGGCACCATTTGAACAATGGGAAGTTGACATCCTTGGACCTTTCCCCATGGCCTGAGGACAGTTAAAATTTGCTATGGTAGCAGTTGAGTACTTCACAAAGTGGGTAGAAGCCGAACCCCTAGCAAAAATATCAGAAGCCAAGCTCGGATCATTTGTATGGAAGTCGATTGTATGTAGGTTTGGAATACCCAAAGTTCTTATAACAGATAATGGAAGGCAATTTGACAATTCACAATTCATAAACTTCTGTGTCAATCTCGGGATTGACCATCGTCTGACATCAGTATCGCACCCTCAAAGCAATGGCCTCGCTGAGGTAACAAATAGGATCATACTTCAGGACCTTCGCACCAAGATCAGAAACGCAAGAGGTGACTGGCCCGATGAGTTGCCCTCCATACTATGGGCATATAGAACTTCTCATAAAACAGCAACAGGCGAGACTCCTTTCATGTTGGCCTTCGGCTTAGAGGCCACTATCCCCGTCGAAGTCAGTCTCCCCACTTTGAGGAGAGTTGAACCCGGCATGGAGGACCAAACAACCGAACATCTTGGCTTACTTGAAGAAGTAAGAGCAAACTTCACTGAGACTGCTAGTTACCAAAATAAAATGGCAAAGTACTTCAACACCAAAGTCAAGTCACGAGAATTTAGGAGTGGCGATTTGGTTCTAAGAAGAACAGAAGCAGCTGGACACCCTCCAGGTAAATTTGGACCGGTATGGGAAGGGCCATTCGAAGTCATACGAAGGATCAAAAGCGGAGCATACAGCCTTAGAGACACTTCGGAAATCCACTCCCAAGGCCTTGGAATGCAAATAATTGAAAAATATATTACAAGTAGAATAGCAATAGCGTCGTATTAGGGCTTGCACACCCACTTTATTTTTATTTTTCAGTAGCTCGGGTTTATGCACCCTTGAGCATTTTGTTTTCAGTAGCTCGGTAAGCTCGGGTTTATGCACCCTTGAGCATTTTGTTTTCAGTAGCTCGGGCTAAGTATCCTTGAGCACCTAATAATATTCAAGTTTCGTTCAACTAGCACTTCTTAAACTTTGGCGTAACGACGTGTTTCGGGTATGCAGCCAACTCTTTAACATTAGTGTAATGACGTGCTACGGGCATGCAACTAATAACTCGGGCATAATGACGTGCTTCGGGCATGCAGCCAATTCCTCAACACTAGCGTAATGACGTGCTACGGGCATGCAGCTAATAACTTCGGTATAATGACATGCTCCGGGCATGCAACCAACTCTTTAACGTTAGCGTAATGACGTGCTACGGGCATGCAGCTAATAACTTCGACGTAATGACGTGCCTCGGGCATGCAGCCAACCCCGTGCTCTAAAAGCAGTAACATTGGGTCTAACGTACAAACCCGAGGTCATGAACTGCCTTTCTTTATTTAAAATCAACAATGGCTAAGTTCGGGGTCGGGCCTCTTCGAATGATAAAGATCGAACCCAACCCCCTCTACGACCTAGAAACAGTCTCGAAGACCATCCGTGACAATAACTCCATATCATGACTGCGACCTATTATTTAACAATCGAATTCACAGGAGGCCAATCACACACGAGCCCAATGCCTTTTGCACGACAAGACAAATAACCTAATAATAGGTTCCCCGAGCTTAAAACACACAAGTTATAGTAAGTAAACAGCTCGAACTCATCATCTGGGTTATTTAATAACTTACAGGCTCTAAGCTCGACCTTAACAAGCACATCAAGAATCGAGCTCTAACATGCCTGATGTTCAACGTCAAAGTGTTGATTGAATTCAAAAGCGTTGTGCATTGAATGAAAATACGAGCTCGATTAAATTAAAAACAAACACAAGTAATATGCACGAACATTCATCGATTAAATTAAAAAACAAAAGTAATGAGCCCAGTTCGGGCAATATTACAAAAAGTTTCAAAACATCAGGGTTAAAGACCTAATCTATATCTACGACCCTGACATTGTCTCCTTGGTCGCCAGTCCCGGCGTCATCTCCATCACCATCATCATCATCATCATCCTCTTCGACCTCAAAGGCCGAAAGTTCGAGCTTCCCTGCAAGCTCCTTCACTATCTTCAAATCCTCGACCGGTGATTTTAAATCCTCAGGGACCTTCGTGCGGAGATAAGAACGGACAAGACGAAGCCCGTAATGGTAAGAGCCCGAACCATACTGTCCCAATAGGGTCCCAAACTCGTCAGACTTCTTGAAGTCTTCAACAGCCTGAGCCCGAACCTCATCACAAGCTTTTGCAAGCTCTTCCCCAAAGCACCTCTAGGACTGGAGAAGCTCGAGCTTAACTTTCTCGACCTCAGCCTTGGATGTCTCAAGTTCCTCGCGGGACTTCTTGAGGTCAGCCTCTGCAGCCTCGAGTGCCTTTTCAAGATCACGAGCTCGCTTTTCAGCTAGCTCTTTTTCCTTCGAAAGCTCCTCCATTTCATTCAAAATGTTGATACCATTCAAAGTAAGACCTTACTCCACACTCAGCGTCTGCTCAAAGAAGGAAAGGAAACCCGGAGTCAGTTCGATCAAAGAAGATTAAAAAAATAATAATAAAAATACAGTTAAGGTCGGCATCTTACGCTTAAGGTCAAAGCCTCCAGTGTCTTGACCCCTTCGTTAATGTTGACCTCCTTCTTGAACCTATCAACAAGGTCCTTCACAAGGGCACACTCTGTATACTCCTCAAGGGCACTGTCCGAAATAGGCTCGAAGCCTGAATCCGCAACTCCCTGACACCTCTGAGCTCGATCT